CAATCCCAGCTCCTAAACTTCCCCAACAGCTTATTACCATTTGTAACTTCATTACCAGGGGATGTGGCTCCCCCTTCTGGCCCTCTTAGGCACTCCATGCATGTGGTACACAGGTATACACGCGGGCAAAACATTCATACTCATAAAATAAAATGAATAAAGTTGGAGGAGAATATACCTAGGAGGTTTTTAAAATATAGTTTACATTACAGTACACTAGCCTAAATAATTTATTACTGAGAGACAACCTTGTGTGTTACAGAGAAGTGATAACAAGGCCCAGGGTCCTTAAGAGAAGCCCAGGGCTAGGGTCTTGGAGGCTTCTTGGCTGTGTAATGAGATTAAAGGTTCTGAACATGAGTCTAACTACAGGTGGATTGGGCAGGGGACAAAATGAAGTGAGTTTTTGTTTTCTCAGTGAAGTATGGTTAAGCCCACTGGTGGAAAATAAGACCACTAGCACAATTCAAAGCCAAATTTGAAGCAAGCTTTAATTAAATACTGTCCAACTGGACGGACTCCAGCCAGGCCCATCAATGTGTTTCTAGAAAATGGACCCAAGTGGTTCTGTGTTGTTTGCAGTGGCTTAAGTATTTCCCATCAGGTCCAATCAGGGGCAAGTACAAATACATCCTGACGTATTTCCTGCCTGTGAACCCCACATGTGGTCAAGCACATCCAGTGCACATGGGAAAACAAACTTGTTTGGGGGAGTGAAAACATGTGACTTGTTATCTCCCATAGACAATAGCCTCCAGCATTTCAGGAACCATCTGTCCTTGGGCAAGGGGCTTGCAGATCAGAGGCAGGTTTTGTTTCATGAATCTTAGGCATAGTAATTAAAACTTAAAATGTAACTTTGGCTCTCACAGCATGAGGTGGGATTTTAAGCTAAGAGTGTGTATTTATGGGAAGGCTGGGAATTTGAAGGGGGAGCATTGTGAAATAGTCTCAAGACCTGGGAAAAACTGAACTACTAGGGGATGAGGGTAGGGCACCCAGTCTCGATGAGATTAGTGGTCAAGTGTGAATGGAAGCAGTCAGCATGCTGGCCTGACTTCCTGGGCTAGGCTGCACTGCAGATCGCAGGCATAGGATGAGCGGGTAGTTGGGTGTAATGAGGTTGGGGTTTGCCAGAGGAGAATGCTGGTGTGAGAGAGAGGCAAGGGAAGGAAAGGACGTTGTTTGTTCTGTTCGGTTGAGACCGAGTTTCTTTTACTCTGGGGAAACTTGAAACTCTCTGTGTAGCCTAGGATGGCCTCAGACTCAGGGCAATCCTCCAGGTTTAGCCTTTCAAGTGCTGGGATTACAGGTCTGAGCGCCATGTCTGACTAGAAGAAGGTGGTTTCAAGACTGGGGGTGATGGGTTACCATAGGATAAGGGGTGACGACAGTGGCTGCCGTCTCTGAGAGGGTAAGCAGGCGAATAGCACCTGACATGGGGGTGTACATCTGTAATCCCAGCACTCGGGAGGCGGAAGCAGGGAGATTGATGAGTCCAAAGCTAGCCTAGGCTACCCAGAAAGACTGTCTCAAAACAAACAACAAACAGCAACAAAACAACTAAAAGAGCTAAATCAGGGACACGTGAGTTGGGAAGGCAGGGTGTGAAGCCAGAACAGTGAGGGGTGAGAGGAATAAGAAAGAAGTGGAAAAACAATCAAAAGCTGTGTACCTTTTTAGTTGGGGCCTGGCAACATCTTTAAAGGTAAATATAATGAACTAGGGTTTTGTTGTCTTCTGCCAAAAATGCCAGTCAGCCTGCCAGTCCAAGGACGACTTGTCTTCAGCAGCTAGCAGGTTCTTATCTCTGTGTACAGAGCCGCCCGCCCTCTGCCCTCTGGCTGAAAGGTTGACTCACCGTTCTCTTCCAGTTGAGATGCAAGGCAAAACCACAGCGTCTCATAGCTTTAAATGCTTCCTGGTTGCATGTTCTCAGATAACAACTTCGAAGATGATTATAATAATAATAATAAATCACAATTAAAACTACACAAGGAGCTGGGCATGGTGGTGCATGCCTTTAATCCCAGTGCTAGGCAGGCAGAGGCAGTCAGATCTCTGTAAGTTCAAGGCCGATCTGGTCTACAAAACAAGGACAGCCAGGGCTGTTATACAGAGAAACCCTATCTCAAATCTCCCCTAATTCCCCCCGCCACCCCCCCCCAAAAAAAAACAGAACAAAAAAATACACAGAAAACCCTGCACAAGGACTAGGAAGCCCACTCAAGGAAGTTGTGTTTGTTTTTAATTATTTCCTTTTGCCATGCTGGGCGTCAAGCCCTAGGCCAGTGCTCTGCCACTAAGCTACATCTGCAAGCCTCACTTAAAAAAAAAATTAAGAAAATTGATTTCAGGAGCATGTGGTTTATTTAAACAAAAAAGCTACAGCTGGAATATGAGGTGTGGTCATGCGTAAGGTAAGGCTATGGTAATAAAAGGAGCTGGGGCAGCAGCAGTCTGGGGAGGAAGTTGACGAAGCTCCTTTCTGTGAGGTGTAGGAGAATGAAGTGCCTCAAGTTGCAGCCCTGTGTTCTAACTGCTATTTATTTTAAAAAATTGTTTTTCAGATTTTGTTTTATGTACATGAGTGTTTTGCCTGCAAGCATGTTTATGCCACTACATGTGTGCCTGGATGCCCTGCAGCTGGAGTTAGGGGCGGTTGGGAGCCGCCTTGTAGATGCTGGAAACCATCCAGGTCCTCTATAAGAGCTAGTGCTCTCAAGCACTGAGCCATCTCCAGCCTCCAACAGCTATTTTGTCTTATTGTTTTATTTATTTGTTTTTCTTTTCTTCTTTTTAAAGATACTTATTTTGAGAGGTGGGTCTTCTATAACTTGCTATGTACTGGGTGCTGGGATTAAAGGCGTGTGCCACCACTGCCTGGCTTCAAGGGAACTTTCTGTAGAAAACAGTTCCTCTTGTCACTGGGAAGTTGAAGAAGTTGGTACAGTTCGTTATAGCTTGGAGTGGAGTGAACATTTACAGGAAAGGATGGTGCAATCTGTTAAATCCTGTTAAGAGGTATGATACCAGTGTTGAAAAGAACCAGTTGATTCTGAGCGGGAAGATCAGTGCGGGCCTCGAGCAGCCATCGGCCTCTATTTCTTTGTATAGCCCTAGCTGTCCTAGAACTTACTTCGTGGACCAGGCTGGCCTCGAACTCACAGATATCCTCTGCTGGGATTAAAGACGTGTGCCACCAATGTCTGGCTCTCAGACATTGACCTGCAAGTTGAACCTGGGAGTGTGAGTAGGGATGCGACAAGAAAAGGTGAGGGTTTCTCTGGCCATGAAACACGGGGAGGAAGGAGAAGTCCAGTGCTGGAGAAGAGCCGGGAGCTCGGGCTGAATAGAACCCTTTATTCTGTAGGCAGAAACAACTGAGTACTGTCAGGAGAACAAGAGCAGAATATTAGCTAGTGTTTGTGTTCCTGCCCCATCTGGCCAGGCACTGTATTAGGAACATAGCTCCCCCACCCACTGGTTAGAAGAGAAATGACAGTTTTAGCTTCTCCACAAAAGGAACTGAAGCTTCCAGGAATTAATTTGCATATCTTTTCTACTATGAAAACTGAATCATAGTACTAATACATTTCCCTAAAGTTTTTAGGATTAAGAAACCAGATATTCCCAGACGTAAGTAATAAGATATTGCTGGGGACTAAACAGTAGAAACTCTTGGTTTAGGGAAAGAAATAATTTGTTCCTTCAACAGGCCCCACAAAGCGTGAGGATCTGCTGGCTTCCCTTCGCAGGCCAACAATCTTCTGTCTTAGTTCTAACTACTCCTCTGCCTCTGTGAGAGCTACTTGACTTTGTCATTGCACTAGCGATTAAAATGATAAGAAATAAGAAGGTGAACTAAGGCCGGGTGTGGTGGCACACGCCTTTGATCCCGGCACTGGGGAGGCAAAGGCAGGCAGATTTCTGTTTTCAAGGCCAACCTGGGTTACACTGCCAATTCCGGGAAAGGGAGGGGAGGGGAAGGGAGGAGAGGGAGAAAAGAAAAGAAAAAGAAAGTGAACTAAGACCGAACTCATAAAGAGAGCTAATCAGCACTTAGGAGGCGAGGCAGCAAGATTGCGGTTAGTTTCAGGCCAGCCTGGGCTACAGAGTAAAATCTGTTTCAAAAAACACAACCCTTCCCCCATGACAGCAATTAAAATTATCAGCCAATCCCCACCCCCCCAGGACAAAAGACACCGATGTGCCCTTCATTGAGCGTTATACCCCATGGTTTTCGTTACTGAATGAACTGAATTGAATTCGCTATTGCTGAGAAGCATGAGAAACAATCATGGAGATTCTTTTCCCACTCTGCGACTTCAGCTGGCCCAGGACACCACGATTTCCTTTTGAGGGCTGTGTATATGTTTTGTCAGTTGGACGCTGAAAGATGTCCGGATTAGACCGCAGGAAACGCTAGAGACTTAGAAATCCTAAAGCAGCGGGGACAGGAACGCGTGAGTGATTTCAGGGTTCACTTGAGTTTTTCACTACTACTTTTCACTTCGGATGCTGTGTGTCTTAACCCCAGGCATGTGGGTTATACGGCACTACCCGGCTCTGACTTAACTCACGTCTACTTAACAATCCGAGAAGGCCGACACACGTATCAGATGAGTGACACTTGGCCTGATGCATCGGATCCACGAAACAGGGCTCAGGAGAATTCTCAGGTTCTGCAGGAAACCACTTTGTGCCTCCCTGAGCCCTTCCCTTTAACCCAGAGGGTGGAGCGCGCGCGCGGTCTCCTAGGAGACCAGAGCTAATTGCCCGCGCATGCGTACAGTCTGGGTCCGGCTGATGCAACTTTCCGCGTGCGAGCCTTCTCTACCCGGAGTAAGGAAGCCGATAGGGACCGCGGGCGCAGCCAATCAGCCGCCACGCACGCGGGTGAGGCAAGTCCGCCCCTCGGGGGACGGGGGTGGGGGGGTGGGGTCCTGCAAATGACGTTGGGTGCCGCTGGGCCGTCGACGTAGACGCCCTCGGCCCTCCGTCTGGTCCGGCGGCTTCCGGGTGTTCGGCTGCGGCCATTTTGGGCTTCGCTTCCCTTCGCCGCCCGCCACCCAGCCCTTCCGCTCTCCCGTTTCGCGCCTGGGTGCGGACCGCGGCCTCCGGAGACGCCGCCGCCGCCGCCGCCGCGGGAGGGACCCGGTCTAGGGTGGAGGAGCGGTGCCGCACGGACTAGGACGGACGTCTCCTTCCCCGGCGGGATGGACGGGACTGCGGCCGCCACCGCCTGCGTGGGCCGCCAAGCCGTGCGGTGCAGCGCCCGCGGCGGAAGCCGCCGCCCCCGGGGCCCCCTCTGCCGGCGCGGGGATCGGCCTGCCGTACCGACTCGGTGGCTGGGCACGGCTGAGGCTGTGTAGGCCTCGGATCCCGGCCGCCCTGACGCCGCCGAGCTCCGCGCTTGTGGCCTGAAGCCACTGCCGAGGAGAGGAGATGGAGCTGGGAACGCTCGGGCCTCGGAAGCGGCCGGCCCCTCGGATGGGCTCCTGGTTCCGGCTGCCCTTCTTCCTTCGGCGATGGCACGCCCGCTCTTCCGAGTTCCCGATGCCTCCCTCTCGGGAAAACTCCGGGGACCCCGCAGTGCCGGCCTCCGCCCGGCCCGAGCCTCGCACCAGGTACTGGACCAGATTGCTTTCCCAGCTCTTTGCCCTGCTGCCTTGCTTGCTCCAGAAGCTGTTTCTTTGGAGCCAGCTTTTCGGGGGCATGATCCCCGCGAGATGGCTAGATTTCGTAGCGGGTTACAGCGCCCTGCGAGCCTTGCGAGGACGGGAGGAGCCCGCCACTTCCGCGGTGCAGAAATCTTTGGGTTCACTGCGGCTGGACTCTTCGGAAGACTTGGTTGTCAGCCCCCTTGATTGGCTAGAGGAGGGACTCCAATGGCAGTACTCGTCCTCAGACCTGGAGGTGAAATTTAAAGCCCAGGAGAGAGCTGTGGACTCCGCAGCGTACACCTTTCTCCTGGAGCAGCAGCTGTGGGGAGTGGAGTTGCTGCACAGGAGTCTTCAAGCCGGTCTGGTCTCCCACCGAGAACTTGGCCCTGCACCCTCTGGGCCTCGCCACGCTCAGAGCGTAGGTAGTTTCAAGGTAGTGTCCTATCTCCTGAACCCTTCCTATCTGGACGGCCTGCCCCAGCTAGAGCTGTGCCAGCAGGACGGCGTTGGCGCTGGCCAGCTCGTGGATTTCCGAACACTAACCCCCGAGAGCTGTTGCCTCTTTGAAGATGCTTGTCACCCCCAGCCGCTGCGTGCCGAGATCTCGGCGACCGCGTGGCAGAGGTGCCCCCCTCTTTCTACAGAAGGCCTGCCGGAAATCCACCACCTCCGTACGAAACGCCTAGAATTCCTTCAGGCTAACCACAAGGGGCAAGAGTTACCCACCCCTGACCAAGATAATGGCTACCACAGCCTGGAGGAGGAACATAGCCTTCTCCGGATGGACCCACCACACTGTACAGATAGCCCAGCACACGCGGTGTCCCCTCCTGGAGCCAGCCCGGAGCCCACTGAGAAAAAGATAGACTTGTTGATGCAAGAAGTTTCACAAAGCCCCCAGGGAAGCAATCCGACTTGCGAGTTACCTGTGGAAAAAGAAGGTGAAGGGGGCCACACTAGTGTAGTCGACTGCTCAGACGTAGAGGATGGCCTTCCTGTTTCTGGCAGACCAGTTTGTAGCAACAAACTGATCGATTATATTTTGGGAGGTGCCTCCAGTGACTTAGAAAGCAGCTCCGACTCGGAAAGTGAGGATTGGGACGAGGATCCCGAGGATGATGGTTTTGATAGTGATGGCTCTCTGTCCGAATCAGAGGAGGGACAGGACTCTGACGGGCTTCACCTTTGGAACTCCTTCTGCAGTGTAGATCCTTACAATCCCCAGAACTTTACAGCCACAGTTCAGACTGCTGCCAGACTTGTCCCTGGAGAGCCGTGTGATTCTGGGAAGTCCTTGTCTGGCAACTCGGATGTAGGAAGTGCTTGGGCCGGGCACCTTCCTGAGACCCCCGAGCATAGTTCTGGGGAGGAAGAGGACTGGGAATCCAGTGCAGATGAGGCGGAGAATCTTAGGTTGTGGAACTCTTTCTGCAAATCTGAGGACCCCTACAACCTTTTAAATTTTAAGGCTCCTTTTCAAACATCAGGGAACAACTGGAAAGGTTGTCAGGACTCAAAAGCATCGTCTGAGGCCATGGTGGCCTTTTCTGGGGGTCATAACTTACTTTCTTGTAAGGTACAACTGTTAGAAAGCCAAGAAGATAATTGTCCAGACTATGGGCTGGGTGAGGCTCTTTCTGGAGAAAAATACACCCATATCAAAAGAAAAAAGGTTTGTTTCTTTCCTTTTACAGGACTAGTGATTTGCTGTATTTTGATATGGTTACTATAGCAGCATGACTTTTCCTGCGAGGCATAGTTACACATATTTTGAGGAAGGCCTCTGAGCTCATGTGCTTGGATTGAGAAATACTCAAATGACCCTTCTTCCCAATATAGAGAAATATTCCTATCTGAAAGGATGCCAGTATATAGATGTTAGCAGGGCTGTCATTTAGATTGGTGGATCCTGAAGTTTAAAAATGGTTCACATGTATTTGTGAATACTTAATATTTTATTTTTATGACAGTGTCTTTATTCCTGTCCATTAGAACCCAGATGAATACTAGTAATTATTGTATTATATAATGATATATCACTACTAATAATAACCCACATAGCAAGTTAGGTTTATCTAGTTGTTTGCCCGGAAGGGAAGTGATTGTGGTGGTGTATGCCTGTAATTCCAGCGCTTGGGAGTTAGAGGCAGGTGGATTATTTTGTGAGTTTTGGAGTCTAGCTTGGTCTACATAGTGAGTTCTAGACTTGCCAGGGATACATGGGTGGGATCTTCTCTCCAAAAAAAAAAACAAAACCAAAAACCAATACTCCTGGCTTTCCTGCATCTCCTGTCTCCCAAGCTGGCTAGAAGTTTCAGCACATTTTGTCGCACTAATGCAAGCTGGCTTAGAACTCACTGGAATTCAAGCTGGCCTCAAAGTCGTGTTGAGCCTGGTACTTCAGCCTCCGAAGTGCAGGGGTATTTGTGAGCCTCCAGGCTAATTTTATAACTTCATGGGACAGTTTGCTCTTTCATTATATTACTATTCAATTTACTTTATGTTCCGGGTATTTGAATTGCTTTATTTCTCTTACTGCTTTTTCAGCTGAAGTTATTAACTGAGAATACATGCCACCCCCAGGCACAGAGATGTCTTTTGCTGTTGAGGGAGTTTCTTTAGTTTCTTAACACTTGCATCAGTGCCTGTCAGATGGACAGTGTTGTGAGCCCCTGGCTCCAGAGGGCCAGTTTCGAGACTATTCTCGGGACAGGAAATATCTAAAGGGTGGTGATCTTATGCCTTGCCATCTAGAGGTGTAATAAGTTATGCTAAAAACTAAATTTTAGTTCACATTTCAGAATGATATATAATGAGAGAGCCATTTGTTTGTTTACTAATTTTGCTGCAGAAGGAGGCTAGTCCCTTGATCATCCTGAACAAGGGGTCTGTCTACCCCTGAGCACATCTCCAATTCTCATTTCATTCTCTTCAGGATAGGCAGAATGCTCTTGAGAGGGAACAGGCAGGAGCAGAGTGGAGTCGAAGCAGGAGTGCTCGGCCTCTGCATGCATTCTCGTTACTGCACTCCCATGCCCTGGTTCCCCCCTTAGCCAACGGGAATCCTAAGATCTGGTGTAGAAGTGTTGCAAGACCTGCTGCTCTGTCTTGTGAGGCTGGGGGTTGAGTCCTGTTAACCATGCACATCACCACTGAGCTGGCTACACCTCCAGCCCAAGTGAGGGAAGATAAAGGAGTAAATGAAACTCCTGGTTCATTTCCATGCCTTTGAATGGCTAAGGCCAACCTCATGTCTCAGATTAAAGACTGTTGACTGAAATACTAGAAGAGGTTGTGCCTAAATATGACAGCTGTTTAACAGCCCCTGGCTACCTGCCATTCTTTACTTGATGGGAATAGTAAGGAGTGGTGCCAGTTTTTCGAATGAGGCCTGAAGACCATGGAGTGTAGAATACTTTATGTACCGGCAGAACAGCAGACTGTAGACTCTGATCCTCGTTGTGCCCCGCGTGCTGTGGGACTTGGGCTGGTCACTGACATCCGATTCCTTGTCTGTACAGTGGTGATGACACTGCTTCATACCTCCTTGGGTTGGCATGAGGATCAAAGGAGAACATTTGTAAACTTCTGTGAAAAAAGTTTGGCATTTGGCAAACAGTATAAAAGTGCTTATTTTATTTATCTTAGTGACAATGACTTGGTAACCACTAGATTGCAATATTTAGTAAGGTGTTACATGCCTACTAATTGTCCTCAGGGGCATTCCTAGGCCTGATGTAAAGGGAAGGAAAGCTATCGGCCTCAGTGGGATTAGCTGATGTAACTATTAAGCATGCTTTAAAGCACTTTTTTTTTTTTGGGTGGAGAATCCCATGTAACGCCTTCTGGCTTCGTGCCCCAGATTGTTCTGCCTTGACATCTAGTGCTGTGGTCATGGGAGTGTCATGACCTTTTCCGGGTTGTAGTGGTTACTTCCTGTATACTTTCTCATATGGGGGAAAGAATACTAAAAAACCGAATTTCCGTATTTCTTTACAAACGAAAGGATAGCAGGGATTACTAATAGGGAAACCCAGAGTTCCCATCTCTGGTTCATTTTTCAACACCATAAAACAAGAATTGGGCTTGAAGAGACTCAGTCTGTGATGAGTAAAGAAATGCACACTGGCCAGGCGGTGGTGGCGCACGCCTTTAATCCCAGCACTCGGGAGGCAGAGGCCGGCGGATCTCTGTGAGTTCGAGGCCAGCCTGGGCTACCAAGTGAGTTCCAGGAAAGGCACAAAACTACACAGAGAAACCCTGTCTCGAAAAACCAAAAAAAAAAAAAAAAAAAAAAAGAAATGCACACTGATTTTTGCAGCATTGTTAGCTGTTTCATTACCTTCATGTGTGGTGGGCACGAAGATTCTTTGTGGTGTCAGCTAGTTCTGAGATCCTAGACTAATTAACATTGGGTTTGTCTTTCTAGGTAACCTTCCTTGAAGAAGTTACCGAGTATTACATAAGTGGGGATGAGGATCGCAAAGGACCATGGGAAGAATTTGCAAGGGATGGATGCAGGTTCCAGAAACGGATTCAAGAAACAGAAGATGCCATTGGCTACTGCTTGACATTTGAGCACAGAGAAAGAATGTTCAGTAGACTCCAGGAACATGTTTCAGAAGACTTCCTATTGTTCAGCAATGTTAGGATGAGTGAACAGCCTGTGGCCCTGGCCCACACTTTCTCTTGCTTGAGAGGTTTCTCTTAAAAACAGATATTGGCAGCTGTCCTTGGACATGTTTTTAAAGAAACAACTTGTATCTAGTGATGTGGTTAAATTGTTTTTGGGTAATGTATCTCATTAGAAACACCAACTCCGATAATGAAGGATCTCTAATCTTTAATCTTCTCTTTTCCTGTTTGGTTGGATGTGGTTTTTGTGACAGAGTCTTACTACATAATTCTGGTTGGCCTAGGTCTGTGTGTAGACCAGGCTGGCCTTGAAATTGGTATCTTCTTGCCTCTTTCTTGTGCCGCTGTGCCCAGCTGGAAGTGATTTTAAATATCCTCCGCTTAATTGAGGTGAAAAGGGACCCTCTGAGTCATTACTTTGCACTTTGAAAACTTACGGAGGCAGGGGGCAGCCGGGCCACATAGTGTGGGCTCTGGGCCAGTCGGGGCTGCAAGCTGAGACCAGGTCTTAAAGGGCAAAAATAAGAAAAGGGTTTTCTTGGTTTTCAAGACAGGGTTTCTCTGTGTAGTCCTGGCTGTCCTAGAACTTGCTCTGTAGACCAGGCTGGCCTCGGACTCCTAGAGATGCTCCTGCTTCTGCCTCCCATCCTGAATACTGGGGTTAAAGACATGCCTCACCATGCCTGGCACAAAAAAGTTTCTTTCCAGGCCTGTAATTCCAGTTACTTTGGAGACTGAGGCAGGAGGATAGAAAATTCAAGGTCTGCCTGGGCCACATAGTGAATTCAGGGCCAGCGTGGGTAGTTTAGCAATACCTTATCTTAAAAGGAAAGTGGGAAAGGAGACTAGGAGTACAGTTGAGTAGCAAAGGGCACCTGCCTGTGTGTGCAAAGCTTTGGGTTCAGTTCCCACTACTGCAAAAGGAAAAGCATTTTCCTGGAAAACTATTAAGGTGTAAGCCTCATATTCAGTTCTATTTTTTTTTTTTTTTTTTTGGTTTTTTCGAGACAGGGTTTCTCTGTGTAGCTTTGCGCCTTTCCTGGGACTCACTTGGTAGCCCAGGCTGGCCTCGAACTCACAGAGATCCGCCTGGCTCTGCCTCCCGAGTGCTGGGATTAAAGGCGTGCGCCACCACCGCCCGGCCTCAGTTCTAATTTAAATTATGCACACTTATCTAAAAACTTTGGGTTCTGGAGTGTTGAGCTTTGCTTGCTTACACATATATGTGTATATATGTACATACGTGTATATATGTACACACACATATATTTTTTCCCACTTTCATAGATTTGACCTATTTAAGGCTAAAACCTATTGTACATGTTACCAACTTAAAAGACATTGTTATATCACTTAAAAACATGGTGGATTCTCTCGCTCCGCCCTCTTTTTTTTTTTAATTTTTCTTTTCTTTTTTTGAAGAATTGGTCTTGTGTGGTCTAGGCTAGCCTTGAACTCACTACTTAGCTAAGGATGACTTTGAAAGATCCTCTTGTTCTCTTGCTAGGATTGCACACGTGTGTGCCACACATCCAGATGGTTTTCTCTATCTAGGTCTATTTAAGATACTTCTAAGGACCACCACGCACCCCAGGTGCAGTACTTTCTTGACTGGGAAAGCAGTGTTGGTGTGCTTTTTAAAGACAGACACTGTGATGCCCAGCTGGTCTGCCAAACTTCGACATGTAGCATATTTGATTTCTTTGCACGCTGTCCATCTGGAAGGTTTCTGTGTTGTATTCCAGTTGAATGTGGCTCTTCATTCAGCTTTCAGTGGGTGGAAATGTAAAGCACTCTAGGACGTAGTCATTGCATTATAGATATTCAGTCTTTAAACTTCAAAGTCTAGAGTTTTCCTAAGAGGAGTATGCAGACATCTCTGAAATTCAGTTTTGTTTTATGTACTCCAACAGAAAGCCAGTGTTACTTATTCCCTGCCTCGGCACTGTCACTTTTAAAACCTGTCATGGTGACACTGTAAACTTGGATTGAGCAGTTCTGAATTGTTAAATACAGACTTCAGTGTCCAGGTTTATTGTGTTCTATTTTATAGAGGAGCAGTGGTGTGAGGTCTGTTCTTTGAGGAAAGCATAGAGTATAGCTAGAACAGCCAGAAAGTCTTAGTGTCTTCCCCAAAGCTTGCTTTTGATTAGTATGTCTGCATTGATTAAGATGCCTGCATCAATTAGTATGCCTGGTTTATTCAGTTAGCTTTATTTGCTGTGTGTATGCTAGGTTGAGGTATGTTTAACCACCTCTTTAGTGGTCAGTTCTTCCCGTGTGCCTCATGCCATGGGTAGTGGGAACACAGACAAAAAAGAGGGCCTCTAAAGTGGTCATGGGGATGAATTTTCCCAGAAGAGCTTGCAGCATAACTACCTCAGCTTATGATCTCCCTGGTTATTTCCGTTTGGTGTGCTCTAAGTCTGCCTCCAGTGGTGACAATGTTCATTCACACACACTAAGAATGCAGAACCCTCATTCTGTGTATTTTGTGCACCTGCATTTAGTGAACCCCAGAGTGTATTGCAGTCTGGAATAGTGCTGTGGAAACAGGCTAGTTAGGAGCAGTGTCATTTGGGAAGCAAGCATGTTGACTTAGGAAAACTGTGACAACATTCTTTTAAAACCAGACTGCAGCTTAGCATTTGATTCAGACATTTAGGTGTTTTGTGTTCCTGAGACCCAGGAATGGGGCATCTGTACATTTATTGGGTGTTTGAAATTTGTTCCAGATTCCACCTTCACTATCTAATGAGTAAATACTCTGGTACACTGCCTGCCTACAGACAGGGTCAGATGGTGGCAAGGACCAAAGGATGCTAACAGCTTGACTGAAGGAGAAGAACCGGGTTACTGTCCTTGTCATCCCAGGCCCAGATGTTACGGCCTCTCCCTCCCAAGGAAAGAGAACAACCTCCAAGGCAAGGCAGGGCCTGGAGGTTTTAGCAGAATATTTTACACATTCAAGTCTTGCAATGGTGCTTTAAAGATCTGTGTAGCATGTGAGAAGCTCTGTACAGATGGGGGGCCCCATTTCTGAGTTCTGAAGTGTGGAAGCCCTTCATCTGTGACTTGAAATCAGAACTATCAGATTTTATTTTTTATAATTTAAGGAAGGTGAAGTTTGGGAACAAGATTTGAATGGGCTTCTTCAGATCAGTGATTTTAAAATTTAAATGTAACTAGTGGAGATTTTATAGCTCAGATTATATTTGTATATAATTATTAACTAATCTGTAAATTGTAATAAATATATTTGCAATTATTAAATGCTGTGATATTTTTATGTATTTTACATTGGTTTTGGTATTATGGGTGCTGTGGATCTGAACTCAAGGCTTCATGCTGTGCAGCACCACCTCACAGCCCACTCTCCAGCCCTCTTAAGTACTTTTATCAGTAGAAACAAGGGGCTGGCGAGATGGCTCAGCAGTTAGGCGCACTCCAGAGGACCTGGGTTCGATTCCCAGAACCTCTGTGGTGGTTTATATGTACGACTGTTAACTCCAGTTCCAGGAGACCTAGTGCAGCCTCTCTGGCCTCTACGGGCACTGGGCATGATTCTGATGCACAGACATACATGGAGACAAAATACATATAAAATTATTTTAAAAGATTTAAAGTAGAGCCGGGCGGCGGCGGCGGTAGTGACGCACACCTTTAATCCCAGCACTCAGGAGGCAGAGGCAGGCGGATCTCTGAGTTCGAGGACAACCTGGTCTCCAAAGCGAGTTCCAGGGAAGGCACAAAGCTACACAGAGAAACCCTGTCTCAAAAGAACCAAAAAAAAAAAAAAAAGATTTGCCAGGTGGTGGTGGCGCACGCCTTTAATCCCAGCACTCGGGAGGCAGAGGCAGGCGGATCTCTGTGAGTTTGAGGCCAGCCTGGGCTACCAAGTGAGTTCCAGGAAAGGCGCAAAGCTACACAGAGAAACCCTGTCTCGAAAAACCAAAAAAAAAAAAAAAAAAAAAAAAGATTTAAAGTAGAAACGGACCTTTTTCCTCATAAAAATGTATTATGAAAGTAATGTAGAGCTATACATACACATTCTTGCTAGGTATTCTTTTCCATTTGCATGTGTATGTGTATGCTGTGCATGTGTGTGCATATATACATGTTCTTGCATGTGCGTGTGCATGGAGGTGGGAGTGCTATGTGCCTGTAGAGGTCAGAGGTTGATAGGGGAAATCATCCTTGATCATATCATTCACTGAAGCAGGGTGCTTTAATCAAACCCAGAGCTTAGCCATGTGGCTACCTGAGTTTAGCCAGCTTGCTCTGGGGAGCCTGTCTCCACCTGAGGCTAGAACTACAGGTAAGCCGCCATGCCCTCCGGGGACCCAAACTCCAGTCCTCACACAGGCAACAGCTTTAACCATCTCCCCACTCCTCTTAATATATTTTAAAAAATAAGAGCTGCCTATCCACTTACACATATGAAAGCTTTTAATATTTATTGGGTCAACTATAATGTGATTATTATCCATCTGAAATATTTTACAGCAGCCATCAGGATCCTTTGTGTATGAGCTTTGTTGAGCTGTATGATCTTTTGAAACTAGACTACAATTTTCCTGGATTTGCTCAGTGAGACTTAAGATGATGTCAGTCAAGGGCAACACACAAAGGCAGCAGAATGAAAACCAGAGGGACCTTTTTCCCGGCCCTGTTCACTTGGAGGATTCATCAGACCTATGCTGCTTCCAGTTGACAGGTTCTGCTGGCAGGCTTCACACCAGAGACATTGTTTTTATGTTTTTTGTTGTTTTGTTTTCAAGACAGGGTCTCTACATAGCCCTGGCTGTCCTGGAACTCACTCTGTAGACCGGGCTGGCCTCAAACTCAGAGATCCGCTTGCCTCTGCCTCTCGTGTGCTGAGATTAAAGGCATGCACTGTTAATTCTTAAAATTTTTATTTTTTTGTGTGTGTGTGGTACACACGCACATGTGAACACAGGCATCCCCAGACTCCAGGGGAATGTGTCAGAATCTCAGGAGCTGAATGAAGTTAACACACCTGTAACTGAGCTGCCCAACGTGGGTGCTGGGAACCAAACTTGGGTCCTCTACCAGAGCATTTTTGAAAATTGTTTTAAAGTTTATATGAGTGTTTTGCCTGCATTTATCTATGTGTACCACACACAGTGCATGCCTGGTGCCCGAGGGGGTCAGAAGAGAGCCTTGAATCCCCCGGAACTGTCCAGAGTTCCAGGACAGCCAAGGCTACACAGAGAAACCCAGTCTCAAAAAGCAAACAAACAAAAACGACAAAAATCTCACTATGTAATCCAGATTGATCTGGAACTATGTAGACTAGGCTGGCCTCAAATTAAGAGATCTACCTGTTTTTAGCTCCTGAGTGCAGGGATTAAAAGTGTATACTACTATGCTTAGCCAGGCTGGCTCCTGTGATGGTTTGGGGTTTTGTTTTAGATTTTTTTTTTTAATGTATTTATTTTTATGTTTATGGGTGTTTTGCCTGTATGTGTGTCTGTGCACATGAGTGCAATGCCTAAGGAGGCCAGAAGAGGGCGCCAGATATCCCAGAACTGGAGTTACAGATGGTTGTGAACTGCTGTGTGGTGGTAGCTAGGAATCCAGCCCAGGCCCTCTGGAAGAACCCATTTCTCTTAACCCATGAACCATCTCTCCAGTCTTGGTTTTTTGTTTTTTTGGTTTTTTTTTTTTTTTGGGACTGGCAAAAATTATTAAAATGAAGTCTTGTTTTTTGTTTTTTTGTTTTTTTTTTGAGACAGTTTTCTCACTGTGTAGTGTGAGTCTTCCTGGCTTGGAACTCACTATGTAGACCAGCCTGGTCTCAAACGCAAAGAGAGCTACCTGCTTCTGCCTCCCAAGTGCTGGAATTAAAGGTGTGTACTACCATGTCTGGCCAGGTTTGTTTTTGTTTTAAACAAAGTTCAGTAGCCAGGCCTGGTGGCTCGTGCCTATAATCAGCACTGAGAGGCTGTGGCAGGGAGATTACTGAAAGGTGGAAGTCAGTCTGAACTCAGAGTGACCTGTCTCAAAAAAAACAACATCAACGACACACAATTTTATCAGGAGAAAACTGCTCCCTCTTTGACTCTCAAATACCACCTTTAAGAGACAACTGATGACCTTATTTATTCCCCATTCCTTCCTTGCCTTCTCACATTACCAATTAAAATTACAGGTTTCTCTGACCTCACCTTGTTAACCTTTTTAGTTATTTCTTAGCTACTCTCCTACCCCTCGGCAATCTTCTTGAGAGTAGTGATCGTGTGAGCTGGAGTCCAGAACTGTGCCTGGGACCTTCTAGTCAGTAATTATGTGTTGAATGTGTCAGTGTCTTAAAGTCACCTCTCATACAGCCCTTGCTGCAGTTTGATCAATGCAGCAATGTCTGATCGGAAGCAAACAGGCCACAACTGTGGGTGGGAATAGAACTTACAGGTCCTTAGGGAAAGGCTGCCGTAAAGTCTAACTAATTTGTAGAATGTAATTATAAAAATCAGTGTGGCTGGGGACACCACATCAATTAATTTGAGTGTCACTAATAGGATTCCTGTTAATTTGTGAATTTAAATGTGAGCAAATCAGTGGGGGCTTTTCTTGTCTAGAATTAATACAATGAATGTATGAAGAATACTGAAGAATACTTAAAACGTTGGATTCCCAGCAATGCTCTGTGAACCCACCAGATGGCGCTGAATCACCAGGCCCGCGTATCTGACGGTTGCTCCCTTGGAAGGTCTCCTTCCCCGGGTGTACAAACCCTGCCTTGCTCGGACACGCCCGCCCATTCAAGCCTGACTCCACGTTCTTGTGGTGACTACCCGGAAGTGAGGTTGGTGCTTATCAGAGACTCGAAACTATATTGAGACACAAACAAACGAGCGAGCCCATTCTTCCTGATACACACAGTAAATGAGTAAGGGGGCCGGGACACTGGTGTGAGGTCTGTCTGTGGGGCTTGTGTCCGGAGTTTTCCAGCTTACCTCCTGAACGCATCCCATCTATGGGGCCGTGGTTCCAAAGGGAGACAGGGGAGAACGCCCTGTGCTCACATGGAGAATCTGTAAGTCTGATAAGGAAGTTGTACACATGACTGGCTTGCGAGGAGGAAAAACCCTCACGAGCCATTTGATTGGTTCCCCACCCCCCACCCCCCACCCCCGCTGTGGCAATGCACAGCTAAGGCCAAGCAGACTTGGGGCTGTCCTTTGGTGGGTTAGTATTGGCTCCAAAGGAGTCAGCGTCAGATCTGATGGCATGCTGTCCTGCGTCCTTGCGTTCTGTGTCCCCCAGTCGCTCCAGGCCGTGTTTGCATGTGATTTCCCTGTACCTGCAGTGACCCACGCAACTTCCTGCAGTATTACCCCACGTTTCCTCTCCTGTTCTGCTTTATTTGACTTTAGAAACAGGACGGGCACTCTCCTTTGTCTGGAAATTTGCATAGGAAGGTCATTTTCTTTCTTTTGCACTTCTGATTGCCATATTTTTTTTTTTTTTTGGTGACGTTCTCCCATAAGTAGATTTATCATAGCATCCTATACACCCCTCATGTCAAGTCGAGTTGTAACATTAGCTCTGTAAACACTACAACACTCCAAATTCTCCTTTTGCTCTTTCATATCCAACCCCGTCTCCAACCTCCAGCGTTTGGCAGTTATTATCTGCTTTAGTTTTGCTACTTAAAAAAACAATTATTATTCATTCATTTATTGGATCACTTCTAATTCTGTATTGTTTAGACATACACTGATTTTTTAACATCATCATTTACTCATTGTTAAAGCAAGCACGTGGCTACTTTTATACCAGAGCCAACCAGGAAATCAAGACACAAATTGCCATCATCAAATCTTACTCTTCAAAGAATGTCATCTCCAGGAGGCTGGCCTGGAAGGACTCAGATTCAACAAGTTTTTGAGGTTGTCTGTATTTAGTGTGGGCACTGCAGTTAATTTCATCTTTGTCTGGAGTCATTATTTGGGTCTTTCCAATAAGATCCATCTCCCACTTGGCAGTAGGTGAACAGCCTTTAGTCACATGCTGCAGTCCCTCTCCAGGCCTGGCTCAGCTCCGTTCAGTCTGGACACCAGCTCTTCCATCCAGCATCCTTGGACCCAGTGAATTAGGTGGAAGTGGTCTTGGCATGGTGCTCCTTCACAGCTTGGTCGAACCCCTTGAAGCTGGACACACTCATCACCTCGAAAGTAGCCATGGGTAGTCTACATTTATTTATTTTATGTGTGTGGGTGTCTGCCTGCATGGTTGTCTGTACACCA